ATTCTGTTGGGATAGAGGTTGAGAACCACACCACCAATCAGTCCAGAGGGATATGTTCTTCCCATCCCCAACAATCCATTTCATTCCCTTTCTAAGGATGTGCCTAACCTTACATATACTTCTCCAACAGTGAGAAGAGTTTTTCTTCATAGGCCAAGTAAAAAGGTTATGTTGGTGCAGGTACTTGGTGTGAAGAACTTGACACCAAAGGTTATTATTATCACTCAAGATTTTCAATCCAAGTTTGATTAGGAGGGTGGTATTCTAATCTCTAGCTTTCCTGATACCAAGACCACCCTCAGCCTTGCTTTGACACACATTATCTCAATTAACCAAGTGAACCTTTTTTTGAGTTTCAGAATCTCCCCACAGGAAATTTCGATTAAGTCTATCAATGTCATCACAAAGTTTTCTAGGGAGTTCCATGGTTTGCATGGTATAGGCGGGTATGGCAGAGGTTACAGCTTGTATGAGGGTTGCTCTACCAGCTAGGCTAAGGGTTCTAGCTTTCCAACCTGAGAGTTTGGTTTTTATCTTATCTAAGATGTCATTGAACAAGTGTCTGGTAACTCTCTGATGAAGAAGGGGGGAACCAAGATATTTGCCAAGGTTATGGATGAGGGGAATTCCACTTTGAAAGCTAAGGGCTTTAGCATGATTCCTAGGAACATTAGGGGAAACAAAGAGTTTGGATTTGAGAAGATTTACCTTCTGCCCAGACACATTGCAAAACTCAGAAAGGGTATCCATGATGATATCACAAGTAGATGAAGTAGCTTGAGCAAAAAGAATAAGATCATCAGCAAAAAACAAGTGGGATAAGGATGGGCTATGTCTGGAGGCTTTGAGTCCTTTCCAAGAGCCCTCATGAACCTTACAACGAATCATATTTGATAATCTTTCCATACAGAGAACAAAGAGGTAAGGGGAGAGAGGGTCTCCTTGTCGGAGACCTCTCCTATTTTGAATCCCATTAATGATTTCTCCATTCCATAGGATGGAAGAGTGATTATTGGTAACACAGCTCATTATCAGGTCAACCCAAGTACCATTAAGTTTAAATTCCAGAAGAGTATCTTTAATGAAGGTCCAAGAAAGTCTATCATAGGCTTTCTCTAAGTCGATTTTGAAAATCATGCCACCCTTTTTGCCTTTCTTATGCCTTAAAGTGTGCAAGATCTCTTGGGTGATAATGATATTATCCGTAGTGGTCCTACCAGGGATGAAACTACTTTGATTAGGAGAGATGATGTTGTCCAAGAGAGGTCTAATACGGCCCACTATAATCTTAGTTATAATTTTATAGTTAACATTACACAAGCTAATGGGTCGAAATTGTGTAATAGTTTCAGGACAATCAACTTTGGGTATTAGAACAATAAGAGTTTCATTCACCTTAGGAGGCACAGTTTTATTGCGAAAGCACTGTTTAACAAATTGACAGACAGAGTTACCTATAGACTTCCAGTAAGTCTGATAAAAAATGGCCTGCATGCCATCTTTCCCTGGCGCTTTGAAAGCACCAATGTCTGTAACAGCCCTAAGAATCTCAGCATTAGAAATGGGGGTAAGGAACCCATTATTGTCATCATGAGTAAAATAAGATGAAGCTAAATTATTCCAGTGATCAAGTTGGATAACATCTTCACAATTAAACAGATTTTGAAAATAGTCAAGAATGGCAGCCTTTATCTGATTAGTCTCAGTGAGCCAAATACCATCAGGGTTTTTAAGAGCATTAATTTTGGTTTTCCTTCTCTTATTAATAGTGGAAATGTGAAAGAACTTTGTATTTCTTTCCCCAAGAGTGATATGCTTAGCCCTAGATTTCTGAAACCGGAGAGTTTCTTCTTGGAACAGAGTCGCATTATATTGTTTTAGAAGATCTTGTTCAAGGACATGCAGATTATGAGAAAAGTTACTAGCTAGTGATTTTTGAATGCCCTCTATCCTCGCAAGGAGATGTCTTTTCCTCTTAAATATATTCCCAAAGACTTCTCTATTCCACACAATCACTCTACGCGTGAATTCATCAATAGATTCAAGGAGGTTATGACGCATATTAGTCCAAGAAGAGTGAATGATATCAATAAGGCCAGAGTGAGACATCCAGGCAGCTTCAAACCTGAAAGGCCTCTGAGTAGGATTAAGAGGATGCATACCTTGGGTATAGACTAGCAGAGGGGAGTGGTCTGAGTAGGTGCGAGGGAGGACCCTCACAGTTGCTTCTGGAAACATAGTTCTCCATTCAGGATTGCTTAGGGCTCTATCAAGTTTCTCCATAGTGTTAGCCAAACCTTGGCGATTGTTGGTCCATGTCATTTTGGGCCCTGTGCTACCCAAATCGACTAAGTTACAATTGTTGATCCGCTCTAAAAACTTCTGTGTTCTTGCAGAGGTTGTGGGTGAGGTGAAGCTTTGACGTTCTCCCTGATTCGCATAGTCGTTGAAGTCCCCAGCGACCAACCAAGGCTTAGACATGGTTGCTGCCACCCCTTCCAAATCATCCCACAGTTTCTCCCTCAGGACAGGGTTTGGATTGGCATAGACGGCAGCAAGGACCCATTCCTCAAAATCTTCTTTATGAATAGTGGCATGAATAGCTTGGGGACTTACCGAAGAGGCTCTTACATTGACCTGAGTAGTGTCCCAAATGATCCAAATCCCTCCTACTCTGCCGACAGGGTCAACAAAGGTTGAGGTTGTGAATCCCAGGCGGTTAAAGAAATCTCCCATGGAGCTAAAAGGCACTTTAGTCTCCATAAGTATGATGATCTCAGGTTTATGGGTACGGATGATCTCCACAAAATTTCGTTTGAAATTGTTATTGCCGGCGCCGCGGAAATTCCAGAAAAGAAGTTTAAATAAATCCATAGAAGGGAATTGAAGGGGTGATTCCGATACCAGATCTTTAACAATGGTTCGAATCCTTCGTCGATCTGCCTCTGCTGACCTCATGGAGGCAAGTTGGATCGAGTGTAGAGGATTCTGGTGCTGAGTTGCCCAGGTTGGGGCGATTGTCATTCGGAGTTGTTCTATCCACCAGACGAAAGCGATTAGGTGAGTTGCTTCGTTCTCGGGTTCTAACAAAAGGCTCACAGTATCCTGTTGATTCCGATGCTCGATCACCTCCGGGGGGGAGTTTTCCCGGGTCATGTGATCTGCTCTCTCCATCATTTGTTTCACCTAGGTCTGGTGGTTCCCGATCTGGGTGTGAAGGATGAATAGGGTTGGGAGCTGGGTTTGTAACTGGTGGATAAGAAAAAGTAGAGATTGGGTTAACTTCAACCATAGTAGAGTCTGCTGGACTTGGGGTGGTTTCCAATGTAATGAACATGTCAGAGGTGTTCTGTTGAAATTGATTCACAGTGGGATGTGTTGTCATCTTGGTTTGATCACGAGAAGTGCCCGCTGCTTCCAGAACAATGGCGTGTGATGCTGAACTTTCCCCCATTTGCTGCTAGACAACTTGCTGGTTGCTACGGGTGCCTATCTCCTTAGCTCTATTATGAAGTGAATGGTATAGAATTAAATTGGTGGTATGTGAGTTATATTACCATTTTAGTGCATAGATGTACTACTTTTCTTGAGTTCTGTTTTGGATAATTTTTTTAATATATGTATCATTGTTGTTATTTATAAAATATGTGTGTGCCACATTATTATTGTTTTTTTAAATAAAAAAGGTATGTATACTGTTTATTTACTTAATATTATCAACCAACAAAATGATTTCATTATTAGTTCAAAACTTGAGAAATTATTATTTTTTCTTTTCATAAATTACTTTGTTCATTCATATGTAAAATATTATCTTGTTATAGTAATGTACCGATACAAAAAAAATACTTGGCCCCCTTAAGTATAATTTCTAGTTCCGCCCTGGACAATGTAGAAGCAAACAGAAATTACCAAAGTATTCATAAATTTGGTTTTGATAGATTTTCTAAAAATTAATTTTTTTTTTATTTTTCGTGTTGTTAATGATTTTTTAATATTTAAGCACATTTTTTTCTTTTTAGATGTACCTAACGTAGATGTATATGAAGGTGGTGTTTGTTTGGAAGGATTCAAGCATGAGATATGACTAATAATCCATCCAAACTAATAGTCCGTTGTTTGATTCAAAATTTTTGCACTGGACTATGAATCCCAAATCTATGGGATTGTTCTATCCGCGGGCCGGGAGGGGAGGGGGGACACAAAATAAAATTTAAAAATCTCAACTACAAATTAAAATAAATTTATGTAATTTTTATTAATATTTTTTATTTAATTTTTTAAAAGTTCTAGTAACAAAATTAAATAAAATTTATAATTCAGATTTAATATTCCTATTATTTAGTAAATAATTCAAAAGGCCAAAATAGTCTTTTGAATATTTATCTTTCTCCACAATATTCCAAACAAACATAAGATTCAATAGAATAGTTCAATTCAGATATCTAATCATATAACTAAACAAACATAGGATACAAATCCAGTCCAGTCAAATAGTTCGGGACAATGTATCCCAGGACTAAGAGTCCGATGGATTACAATCTCTCCTTATCCATCCGTTCAAACAAACATGCCCAAAAAGTAAAATATTTGTGAAAAAATATTTTAAAAAATCAATAAATATACAATAATACGAAAATATATTAAATTTTAGTATTTTTGGTATTTAGTAAATTTTTTTTAAAAAGAATTTCACAAATATTATACTTATTTTAAGTATATTTACATTAGGGATATTTAAAAATTAAAAACGTTTAAAATAATAAAAAAATTCAGTAAAAAATACAAAAAAAAAAAAATCAATTTTGTAAAAAGAGGAACAACAATGATAGAGACCACTAATTTTGGAACTCTAAAAAGACCACTAATGACATGGCACTTAATAAAAAAATATAAAAAATACAACACTAAGGCCAAAACATCAAATCATTCTTGGTAGGATCCACTACCACGTCATTAGTGATAGCACTAATTAGTGCTCTCACTCATTTTCCAAAGAGGAATAAACCAAATAAGGTGAATAGCATTTCCTTTTTATAATTTTGGAAAAATTGCGGGAATCTTCTTTGTTTGAAATTAGAGATGTGTCTAGAAAGAGAAAAAGGACTTGAAGCCTTGACGACGACAACGCTGCGCGCAGGACCAAGCAATGCAAGCAAAGATCAGCGCTTTCTTCAATCCTCAACCACCACCCAAATCCTCAAACCTGTCTCAACTTCTCCATCAAACCCAGAATCGTAGCTCCACTGCCCAACAGCTTCTTTGTCTGTACGTCCCTTGCGGTTTTGTGTTTTTGTGTTTTCATTCTAGTTAGTGATTGTACTTTCAAACCCACATCCTAGTTTTTGATTTGAGAGTGATCATCAATTGAGGCGTCAAATGTGTTTGTATAATTGTCTCAGTGAAAACTGAATAGCAATCAGTATTGTACAATTCTACATCTGTTTAAAATACAGAAATTAAAGTTAGGTTCTAGCCTTCCCCTCAATTTGTGCTTGAGTGTGCATTTGTTGGGCAATGGTAATCATTTGGTCTTATTCTCGAGGGCTATGTTACATGGACTTGGGTTTGACTATCGGGTATTTGTATGTATCCAAGCGTTAGTGTTTCATGAATTTAAATTTTAGGCTATGTAGCATGAATACTCCAAAAAAGGTGTCGTAGAAGTATTGGATACGGCAAATAAGTATCCAATTAATTAAATTTTTTTTAATTTATTTTAAATTTCGGATATGGGAGGGATATGCAAAGGATATGTGAGGGACACGGTAGGATACAGGAGGGATATGCCAAATAAGTATCCAATTTATTTTTTTTAATATTTTAACACAGCTATTAAGTATCTAATTTTTTTCTTATTTTGTATTTATATTTATATTTTCTCAAAGGTCAATGTTGTCTCCCTCTTTCTCCCTCTCTTTCTATGTCTCTTCATATTCTATGGGCCTTGTATTTTCATTATTTATTCCCTTGTGATAGACGAATTTCTACTTTGTTAGCTTTGCTATAAGGGCTGCTCACTCATGTGTTAATGAAAAATCACACTGTTTCTATTTTTTAATTTTTGTCTATTGTTGTTTTATTTTTGTTTTTAATTTTGGAAATTATGACTTGGTGCTGTTGTTAAAATTACTTAATTTTGTTAGCTTATTGTTGTTCTTTAAATTTCCTTGAATATTTGATTGAATCCTTTGTTAGTTCCTTGTTAGTATGCTTGGTTATTAGTTGATTGCTCTTTTATGAATACAAATATCTCTTTTTGATATTAAGAAATTTAGTACTAAATATTTTATGAATGTGCTCTTGCATTTTATTTTATTTTATACATACTACATTACTAAAAATTATAAAAAATTTATTTTATGAATGTATCATAGCCTTTCCCGTATCATACTTTTTTAAGTTTTGCCGTATTGTTGTATCCATATCGTATCTTACCCGTATTCTGTATCCATATCTATGCTTCCTAGATCTTAGGATCTTGGATATGTGTCCAAAATTGGATATGAGTACAGGAACGCGTCATATACACACGCATATATATTGCATATTGTATAATATTTTTAGTTGAGATGTTGTAAAATATGTAGAAATATACTAGAAATTGAGAAGGATTCAAGAAAAACATGAAATTTATACCTCTACTTCATGTGAGAGGCTATTGCTTTACTAGCAAATGTGGGTTTCTTCTTCTTTGTATATTGTAACAAATTAAAGGATCCGAGTGTCTAAATTGGGTAAGGGTGTTAGACACATATTTCACATTCTTGCCCTTATCATATCCAGTGGACAACGAGTATTTTGGGGGAAATATAAGAGTCCATGTAACACAACTTGAGGTGAAGATAGTGCTTCAGGAAAACATTAACCTGGATCAATTGCTATAACAAATTAAGGTATTAGAGACAAAAATTTATGAAAGAAATCACTTTTTAGGGACTAAATATCTTAGTTGCCAAAAGTGTTATTGTTGTATTTTTAGCAACAAAATTAGACATTAATTACTATTCTTTTGTGATCAAAATTTCTTTCTCACAAGTAAACCTTTTGGCATGAATTTTTTTGTCCCTAAAAGTGCGTTTATTAGTAACATTTTTCAAAATTTTGTCAATCTGTTTACTTTTCGAGATGATCTTTTCTTGATGACTCACACGACGAATAGTATTGGTCTCATAATGTTTTTTGCAACAAAAAATTTGCTTTTGAGAACGGAAAAGTTTGGTTCTAAAACACTTACATGTAGTGATTGTATGACGTCTTAGTGTGATGCTAATGTTGGGAATTGAAACCATGATTATGATTATTCTCTCAGACAATACATGGGCCAATTTTTCTTTTGGAATCTTCTTGTTCTGAAAGTCCCTTGAATTCAAAATTCAAACGATATTATTCCCACCCTTTCTTCTTTGCAAGTGATAAAATGCACCTTAAACAACTATATACTTGGGCTTTACTTTCTTGTGAACATTCATATTAAAGTCAAATTGGTCATTGCATGATAAGTCCATGTTCAGATTTGAAATAAGGGATTTGTTATTCTCCTTTCTGGGAACAGATTACCATGTCCATTCTGTATTAGACTTCTTTTGTTTCTTATGCTGTAGCAATGGAGCTGCTATTCAACATATTGAAGAAGCACCGAAGGAGTGCAATTCAATGAGTTCTCCGAACGCCACCTCAATCTCAGCCAAAAACCAGAACAAGAAGAGAAGTTACGTTCAACTTCATTTGGATTTGGGACAATCTGATTTTCTTCTGTGTACTTGTTCTATATGTGGGTTCAAGTTTGCTCGTGGGGATGAAGGGGATGAGAAAGTTCACAAGGAATTTCACAAGGATTGCTCTCATGGCATCCAATTCAAGGTACTGTACTGAAAGTTTTTTTTTTTTTGTATGCTTTTCCCAAAAGTGCTAGAATCTTATCCTAATTCCATTTACAGGGTTGGCACAATGAAAGAGTTGTTCATTTGCCTTCAACCAAATCAGGGCGCATAATTTTGGTGTTGGATGGTGATCCGCCTGCTCATAAGAAAAAGGCAAGAGATTTGCTTTATATTCTACTTATTAGTACAAACCCTAAATTCCCTCCCAAAAAAAGCCTGATGCCTACTTGTATTAACCACATCCGAGATTCCACAATTGGACTCTAGAGGTTGGTAAGTTTAGAATATCAAAAATAACAAAGTAGCATCGTCCTAGTTGCCTCATTATGTTACACTAAGACATGATGGATTTGAACCAAGTTGAGGGATACTTTCCTCACAGTTGTAGACAAAGGGAAAATCTTTCCTGACTGTGTTATTGTGTACTAATTCCTTCCTCTCACTAGCACTTAAAAATGCAATGTTAATGTGGACTCGTGCAAATAAAAATTCTCCAGACCAGTAAACAAAACCAAATAAAACATAGGGATAATCTATTATTCAGAAGCCAAGAACCACATCAAGGAACACAAATGAATGTAGGGAACCAAATAACAAAAAGATTTAGATGATTCAGGGAACTTGGTTTAACTTTTCAACACTTGTAGTTGGCTGCATGAATAAATTTTGTCCATTTTACTCTATTTAATTCATTGGCCACTTGCTAGTTTAACCAACATCAAATCACTTCTTTACGTTGTTGTGACTGACTTCTGATTTCACATGACCACACTAGCAATGTAAGATGTAAACCGTTTTTACTTTGCTAAAGTGGACAAATATGTATTTTTTAACTATCATAAAAATATGTTTTGTTTTTAACATTTTGCTTGATTGATATTGGTATGCTAGAAGACAAGAATACTTTGTAGATTTTTTTATTCTACTTTTTGCCTGAAGAAGAGTATTTTTGTTTTTTTAAAAAAAAAGTTACACTTGTTTTGGCTGAAAATATGTTCAATGGTCAATCAACCAGATAGCATTTGTTTTAATATGTTTTGAACTTGAAAAACATGTTCCATGGCATAGGAACACATCATCGCATCACAACCTTAATGGGGGTGCTTACTTCATAAACAGGTTCAAAAAGTTGTTCAGATGATGGAGATGGATCTTGGAAGTGGATGGTTGATTCATAAACTCTGCAAGGTCGGAGGGAACCGTATTATTGGGTGCTAATAATTACGTCAGTCAAGTTTAGATGTCTCTCATAAATCAGCACTTTGTTTTTATTTGTTGCACACTTGGTTGCAGGTTTATTTGTATATTTTCCATCAGAGGATTGCTGGTTGTTTAGTTGCAGAGTCAATCAAAACTGCTTACAGAGTTCTATCAAACTCGGGGCCTCCAAAAAGTGTCAACAATACCAATACAAATAACAACGGATCTAATTCATCTATACTTCAATTTGGTGGTATTAATTTTCAAAGGGAGGCCGTGGAAAGAGCTCCTTCAGCAATTAATCCCGAGGCATCAGAGGAGGACCTAATGGGAGCAATATTCCTTGGAAATGAAGCTGTTCCTGCCATTTGTGGGATTAGAGCCATTTGGGTTGCACCCTCTATGAGAAGGAAGCAAATTGCTTGTCAATTACTGGATGCTGTAAGGTAAGTCCAAACTTCACACAGTTCGTGCCCTACTTATCAATTCAACTTCCCTGTGTCAATTGTGAAGATCAAAAAGAGAGAAAACTGAAAGACACAGCGATTGAATTTATTTGTCCAATCCAGATGAGATGAGAGGTGAATTTAATATATTTTCTTTAATGAGCTATGTGAATCACAAGTGATGTGACTTTTCAATACGAGAAATGTAATTATGATGGTAGATGCTAACCTAACTGAGTTTTAAGCCCTCAAAATAGCTAGTTGAATTACTTGCATTACTTTTTTTTTCTGATTATAACAAGTTTAGTTTTAGTTTATGCACAAATTTCTCTTGCTCCCAAAATTGGAGGGGCTGAAAACATTGAGATTTGAGAAGAGATTCTCAATAATTTTAGTAACAAAATCCTGTCAAATGGCTTAGTACGGGAGAAAAAAGCACTTGCATTAGTATGACCACAACTTGCCTTCTGCAATAAAATTGTGTCGTTCTTTTCAGGCTTTTTTCAATTCATTATATTGATGAAAAGCTTGCTCTGTAGGCGGCTAAGCCCTCATATTGCACATTTTGAGACCAACCCAGAAATTCTATTGGATATAGACAATGTGCATGTGCATCCTTGAAGACTTATTATCTGTGCAGAATATTTAGTTGTTTTTTTTAAAGAGTTTTGGACAACAATTGGCTGATCTTTTTCCTGCTTTCTTCTGTCTTGCACAGGATGAGCTTTTGCAAAGGTTTACTGCTGAAACCATCTCAGTTGGCATTCTCCAATCCAACCTCCACTGGAAGGGCGTTGGCATGCAGATACTTTGGCACCTCCTCATTTTTAGCCTATAAGGCTGCTGATTGAAATGTTTGGGAAATATATAGTCAAAGCTTTCTTCAGTGTAGCATTTCAACTACATGCATACATTTTGCATGATACATACACCAATGTATACTTTTGTTTTTTTGTTGAATAGATACTTTTTAACATATTCAATTTTTATTTCTTGCCCAAACTTCCTCAAGTAGAATCTAGATTATCTTTTTGCAATCAACAGGTTGGCATGTATAAATTAGTACCAAAATCTTTTAAAGGTGTTATTGAGATTCTTGTTGAAGCAAGATTAAAACAAAACGCATTGAGACTGGTTTTTAGGTAATCCTCTCTAAAGGCGTGTGCATCACAAGAATAATACTAAAGATCATGAAATGCTTCATGAAAAAAATATCATGAAATGCTTCATGAAATTTTTTCATCTTTTGATTAGTGTGTTGCGTTTTATTATATGTGTAATCTAACGGTGGAGAAGTTTTCATAATCATTTTCATGATATTTTTTTCAAAATTCCTAACATTGCTCGCATCATAATGTGTGTCAACACTGCCTTGTATGCCTTTTTAGCACAAGAATATGAGGATGATGCATATAAAGAACTTGCTTTGAGAGGTTAAGTTTTTAGTCTAATACATGGTTTAAACATAAAAAGGGCCTCTTTTACACTTATATTTCATGAGAAAAATTAAACAAAAAAACACAGTCAAGGCAATAATTGAAGTTCAGATATCAGTTTCACTTTTGCTGACAGCAAGATTCTTTCTATGCATTGAAATGTTATGTGTTGCAAAACAAAAGTAAGTATTGATGTCTTTATATTTAATTTTAAATTTTTTTATTAAAAATATTTTATTTAATAACTATGGCCTCGTTTGGGAACAGGCTAATTTAGTAACTTTTTGACTATTTGGCTAAAAAGATAGGTAAAAAAAACTTGTATGTTTGGGATGACTTTTTGACTAATTACGAAAAGATGTGCAAAAAGTAGAGAGAAAAGAGAATCTTTGACTTTTTGGTATGGGTTGTTGACTTTTTGACTAATTTAGTAACTTTTTGACTAATGGACTAAAATAGCTTCTTGCCAAACGAGGCCTAAATATATAAAAAAAAAAAAAAATCAAATTTTAAAATGATTATGGTTCAATGCCTTGAGACATACATCTAGAATCTGAATCCTTTCTTTGCCTTCTCTACTTGCTCCCAGATAATGCCAAGGGAGATAGGTGGCTCAGATCACTTCATTAAAAAAATTAAGAAATTAAAACTAAATTTTTGTTAAAAGGAGACAGTTGAGCAAACGAAAAGAGAGCGGGAGACCATTGTTGTTTGTCCACCAGCGACCATTGTCAACCATTCTTCACCATTGTTGTCCGTCGGTGACCACTGCCCACCATTCTTCACCGGCGACCACCGTCCATTGGCCATTGTTGCTACTTTTATGCCTCCCCATAGCTTGGAGTAATTGAAGGGAAAGAAAATAATCACCAACAATGTCACCAAAAAAAAACAAAAAAAAAAAGATTCCAACAACAATCACAAAGAAAATTCCAGCAACAATCACAATCACAACAATCACAAATTCTAGCAACAATCACACAAATTCTAGCAACAATCACAAAAATTCCAGCAACAAGGTCACCATCGAGAGGGTCGCCGGTGAGATGGGTTGGGTGAGGTGGACAAGAAGAGGGTGAGGGTGAGGTGTGATAGTCTCTCTCCTCTTTCATGCTTTAGCAAAAATTTGGTTTAATTTTTTTTTTTTTGACGATGTGATCTGAGCCATCCATCTCCCTTGACCCAATCTGGGTCGTTCCAAGTAGGGAGCCAAAGTAGAGAAGACAATGAGAGAATCCGGATTCTTACATCTCACCTCACAAGAAGTTTAATAGCCATATTGGTTGGTACGAAGAAATTGCGACCACACTAATTGCCCAACTAACTATAAACCCATGTTGTCATCGTTGCTTTTCAAGTGACGATTGAGTCGATTAACAATTGTTTGTTTGATTCCCACCAATGAGGGGGGGAAAGACTATTTGGATGGTAAGAATGAAAAGGCAGAATGAAATTTTTTTTGAAGTCTCACTTCGATGTATGGGGTGCATTCAAGCAGGGAACATAATTCCCAGGACAAAATGAGATTACATACATATCCTTACACGAGAATCTCACATTCCTAAAAAATGAAGATCATTTTAAGACTAAAATAAGTAGATTGGTCCCCCATATTTAAATTTTCATAATGAGAATTTCTAACCAACCTAAATGCTAGAATTATACCGACACATGAATCTTATTATTAATAATGAAGTTCCTGGTGATGAGATTCGCATTCCTTTTCTTCGATTCTTGCTATCCAAACGTAATCTTCTGATAGGTGATCAGCTAATTTTATTGAAGATAGGGGGAAAAGGCTTCCATAACTTTCTCGTAAACAGACTTCTTGTAGTCCATTATCTGCAGAGAAAAAAATGCAGAAAACGGTCAAGTAATCAAACCAACAAAAAAATCTGGTTTCAGAAACCAGTTCAGCATGGTAAACGTAAGCTTGCACCCACTAGGTCAACCACTTGTTCCGGTGACATCCACGACCACTCTCCAAACTCCGGTTTCTCAGTCCCATCGCCCAAAAGATTGATTTCATCCTCCTTTCCTGTGAACTTAAGAAGGAACCTGCATTTTTTTTTGGGCATGTAATGTAATGAAATAAACAGCTTGTAGATAGCATAATTTAATAAGCACGGACATGGACACGTGACACGACACGAATATGACACGGACACGCCAATATGGTAATTTTCAAAAAATGCAAGACACAACACATGGAGACACAAACAAAATATACAATTTTATATATTTATGTATCATTCCAAAACAATAAATAAATGCAATATAACACTAATTTCTATAAATTGACATTGTTTTTCTTTTGTCGTCGTATTTTAAGTTACTTTGTTCAAACTTACAATTAGTTGTGTGTGTTTAAGCAATAGACATGTATATCCTCCAAGTGTCCGAAGCTAATTTATTTATTTATTTATAAATAAGATACGTTTGGATGAGTGGCAGACACATGTTGGGCAGTGTCTGACGAGTGTCGGTGTCCGACAAGGACACGCCACCTTTCTAGAAGTGTTAGAATACCCAAAGCAAGGGCACAGTTCTCACTTGCACTCTCTTACAGTTCTCATGTGTACTCTATTGATTTGCAGATCATTTCCCAATTTTCCTGATATTATCCCAAAGATAAATCTCATTTAATAGTTGCATTCTTTCTTGCTGAGATATCTACGTGCTTAAGGATTGAGAAATGATGATCTAGCAATAAAACCAGGCAATCATTACAATTTTCTTTAGAAGAAATACAAAATTCTTTTTTCGAATTCAGAAGAAATGCAAGTTTATGAATACAATTACTACTCATATCCTGTAAACTTTCTATAAAGCATGCCTTGCAAAGTATGGTATGGAGTAATCAATGCAATGCTGGGGTTGAAAAAATACACGTCATACTGGAAGTTACTTAAAGTGAGTCAAAATGTTTTCTATTTTACGTCAATCCAAATTGAGCAGAAATTAGAGCCTTGGATCATGATTTCCTTTGTTTAGTTTCTAGATAGACAATGCAAGAACTACCATGACAGAAAGCTAGGGTTAAATAGTTTTACCAACTCAACTGGTGGAATGGAACTGTAAAAACCATTTTGGTTGATTTAAACATGTTTAACTTATAGATGGACCCTAATCAAGCAAGAAGTACTGGGAACAAGAGCATTAGTGGATGCTAATCAAATATTAGAAATGTACATCCATGACATGATAGTGAAGTCCAAAGAAAAGCATGCTCACTTAGCCAATTTGGCCACAACTTTCGACATTCTTCGGAAGTACAAGATGAAACTCAACACCTCGAAGTGTGCATTTGGGATTGGATTTGGCAAGTTCCTCGGCTATATTGTAAACCATCGTGTAATTGAGGCCAATCCGAAACAGATCACAGCCATCACAGAACTCGACTCACCTAAGTTGGCCAAAAAACTTCAGAACTTAATGGGGGATGGCCGCAGCGCTCAACAGATTCATCAACCGTTCTTCGGATCGGTGTAGACCATTTTTTCACATACTTCGGCAGGGAAAAACATTTCAGTGGACCCCCGAATGCCAAAACACTCTAGACGGATTGAAAGTGTATCTCCGTTCCGTACCACTCTTGGCAACTCCATCACCAGGTGACTCGCTCATCTTGTATCTGGTAGTATCGTATCGGGCGGTTAGCGCCGTATTACTGAAGGAAGAATTCAGCAAGCAAAGGCCCATCTTTTATGTTAGCAAAGCGATGGTCGCCGTCGAAACACGGTACCTACCACTGGAAAAGCTCATCCTGACTCTTGTGGTGGCTATCAGGAAGCTGATGCACTATTTCCAAGCTCATACTATAAGGGTACTAACGGACTATCCTTTTTGACCAGTATTTCATAGTGCGGAATCATTGGGGCGAGTTTCAAAATGGGCATTAGAACTCGGCTAGTATGACCTACAATTTTTGCCCAGAACGGCTATCAAAGGGTAGGTTTTGGCAGACTTCGTTGCCGAATTTACATGATACCATGCCAACTTCAAACTTGACCAACTAGCCCTTCGGCCTTAACTGGAGTGGAGAATGTATGTCGGGGATATTTGGCAGATGTACTGCGATGGATCATCTAACCAGTGTGGCAGTGGGGCAGGTGTAGTGATCATGATTCATAACCCCCGGAGGCACAATAATCGAGCAGACAATCAAGATAGGTTTTGCTGCGTCAAACAATGAGGCCAAATATGAAGCCTTGTTAGTCGGCCTCTGTAATACACTTCAACTAGGCGCCAAACGATTACAGGTTTTCTGTGACTCAAAATTGGTCATCAATCAATTGAAAGGGAAGTATGTGGCTAAAAATGACCGAATGTCAGCCTATATGAAAACAACAAACTCTTTGCTCACAAAGTTTGACCACCACGAGTTGAATCAGATCACCCGTGATCAAAACACTCATGATGATGCCCTTGCTTGTTTGGCTTCTGCCATTAATTTGGAGGTCAAGCAAACCATCGAAATGGGATTCATCCCAAAGTCGAGTATTAGCGCCCCTGAGTCTCTTCGTGTCAACATTGTTGACTCAGTGCCGAGTTGGATGGATCCCATCGCAGCATTTCTTTCCTCAGAAAAGCTACCAGCAGATAAGAAAGAAGCCCACAAGTTGCGGAATAAAGCCCTACGATACTATTTGGATCCCCATGGAAAGCTTTGCAAAAAATCTCTCTCTGGGCCATACTTGGAATGTGTTCATCCAGACATAGTGAAGGATTTCTTGGTTGAAATACACGAAGGCAGTTGTGGTGCTCATTCCGGGAGGCGATTATTGGCCCATTGAGCCGTCACTCAGGGATATTATTGGCTAACTATGCGTACTGATGCTGAGAACTATGTAAAGAAATGTGAACGATGCCATAAATTCTCTCCCCTAACTCATTTGCCCGCCGAAGAATTGAATTCCGTCACTAGCCCTTAGCCTTTTGCTCAGTGGGGCCTGGACATCGTCAGACCATTGCCAAGGGCTCCGGGAAACAAACGATTCTTGATTGTTGTAACAAATTACTTCACGAAATGGGTCGAAACAGAACCACTGGTGTATATTCGGGACGTGGATGTCAAACGCTTTGTATGAAAGAGCATTATCACCTGATTCGGCATACCTAGAGCACTTATATTCGACAACGGCACCCAATTCGACTATGGTGTCTATCAGGAATTGTGAGACACGTATGGTATTCGGCCTTACTTTTCCTCACCAGCTTACCCACAAACCAACAGTCAGGCTGAGGCCTCTAATAAAGTGGTCCTAGATGGAATTAAGAAATGACTCGAGAAGGCCAAGGACAAGTGGGTTGAAGAGCTGCCCAGCGTATTGTGGACTCGTCACACTACTCCGAGGTGATCTACCAGGGAAACACCATTCGCCTTATGCTTCGGGACAAAGGCGATCATCCCTCTTGAAATCGGCATGCCCACTCTAAGGTCCAGAGCTTTTGACGTAGGACGAAATGATATGATGTTGGCCTTAGACCTGAATTTGCTTGAAGAACACCGAGATCGAGCTCTTGTGCACATGGCGCAATACCAGCAGCAGCTCACCAAATCATATAACCAGCGTGTACAGTTGCGCCGTTACGCCCCAGGAGAATTGGTCCTCAAGAAAGTGCTCCCTGCCACCAAAAATCCAAAGAACGGAAAACTCGGCTCCAACTAGAACGGCCTTTATTAGATTGATTCGATTGCCGGTGCAGGGGCATATAGGCTCTTAGACATGACTGGCAAAAGACTATCCTGACCCTGGAATTCGACCCACTTACGCAAATTTTATCATTAAAATAACTTGGAGGTTATTTGTGTTTTTTGCTATGTAACCGTGTGTGCATCTATATAGTTCATCAGTGATTCAGTAGCTCTTTCTCGTATAATTGATTTCAGATGGTCGTTTGGCCGCAAAAAGTCTCCGAATTCGGAGCGCCCTTCGTGCTTGTTCATGATTGGCCATTACAAAGACTCCGAATTTGGAGCGCCTTTCGTGCTTGTTTACGATTGGCCATTACAAAGATTCTGAATTCGGAGTGCCTTCGTGCTCAGCACGATCGGCCAAAAAAGCCTCCGAATTCGGAGCTGTAGCTGGTTTCTCGTGCTTCTCAGAGGGGTTTAGTCTCTTCGGATACAATAGCCCTATAGTTCAGACTCCTGTGGTTCTGAATCTGGTTTCACAAGTGCAATGTGAAATAGAAAAATACAAAGTCCAAATTTGACAAATCTTTGAAAAATCGATTTACAATCAAATGCCAGAAATGGATTGTATTGCCAGATTTCAAAGTCGTCAGCTAAATATTTTTGAGAAATTTAGAAAACCCGTAACTCGTGCCAAAGGCCACTTGTCCGTCATAACCAAAGTGTCTCAGCTTGGGAACTTAGGTATGAGAGGGGAAGGTCATGAATTGAGCACTCTACTCACCCGATCAAAGATCGGCCTCTACTAATCATGATATGATTTTTATGTACATTATGTACTCTTGTTCCGATTATTATGCTAACATTACTATGTGAGGCATAAGTGTACACTATTTCACCTACTTTGGAACGTTTTGATTTTATGTTTGTTTGAAAAGAATTTTGAATGTGTTTTTTGAAAAAACGAGCCCATATGTACATTAATAAAAGTTATTTCAACTTAGGCGAAAAAACCTTCATCCACAGGCATTCAAGAGGTATATCAAATAAGCACTTAACCTCATGGTAATATGCTTGTCATGACAACACCAACACACATACAATATGCTAAAGCAATAAATGCTCACCTAGTACTCCGAGGCAAGCCAAAGAAAAATAAAATAATTAAAAAAATGCATGTTCCTAAATATGCAAGTGACTAATGCAACACATACAAAATGCAACTATGAGGTTCGGTTTATTTTAACATGTTATATGGTTTAACTCAAAGCATGTGGCAACGCACGTATTCACGTAAGTGGGGAAATGATAACAATGTTAGAATGATGAACCGAATCCAATGCATGCAAAAAATGGATACAAGTCATGGCAATGATATGAGACCAAAAAATATGATACTATATGTAACCATCGTAAGCAA